AAACATGCTGCAAATATGCAAACAAATACAGAAACGTGCTGCAAATACTCACAAGGTAAAAAAAACAAAAACAGAAATGGACTGCAAATACTCAAAACACAATCAAATACAGAAACATGCTGCGAATTGCATAGATAAAATGGAAATGTTTATAGGAGACCCCAACAAGTGATGAACCTGGCTGGGACATGCTTATTGTTCAATGTCTACTCATCCGTGGAGTTGTCGATGAACTGTGAGTTTTTTGTTTATTTCTACATCAATAAATTCCATAATGCTTAATTAATAGCTAAAACCAAGTCAAAATTGCAGATTGATGGTATGAATAATCTTTTTTGTTGTAGTCTGTGCTACTTACAGCAGTTTTCTGTATTTGGTTGCATTGTTGGTATTTGCAGCGTGTTGCCTTGTGAGTATTTGTGTTTTCAAACTTGAGCAAAGGGTCTGAATACTTAGGACCATGTGATAATTCAGTTTTACTTTTTTAATAAATCTGCAAAAATGTCAACAATTCTTTGTTTTTCTGTCAATATGGGGTGCTGTGTGTACATTAATAAGGAAAAAACTTGAATTAACTTGAATGATTTTAGCAAATGGCTGCAATATAACAAAGAGTGAAAAATTTAAGGGGGTCTGAATACTTTCCGTACCCACTGTATATGATATATATACCTATATATTTTTATATCTTTTTTAATTTGCTGGTGTTTTCCTTTTTGCATGTGTTTTCTTCAGTTGCAGAGTGTTGAGCTCTCCCGGCCACCATAAACAAGTGTCAGGTCTATTCGCTTGCATTTACACTCACACAAGACTTTATGCATAGATATATTTTGACATACATTATCAAGTTTTTGGTATAGTTTATTGCCATGGTTAGCAATGTCAATCATTACATTTTCAAATGCAATCCTGCATTTAAATACACTTGTCAGTCCAGAAAATTTGCAGTGTGTTGTTAGTAGCATGAAAAATAAAATATTTTTTCAAATTGTGCATAGGTTATAATAGAAATCGTAGAAACGAAGACATTTTTGAAAGCAGCCACCTATTGGCTATGATGGTCGAAAAAGGGGGTGGAATTGACCATTTTGAGCATCACATTCCAGCTTCATAATCATATATCTGTAAAATAAAAAAGAAATAATAATAAGAATATCACACAGGCAATTAAGAATAAATGTGATACTCAAGATACCTTTTTGCCTTTGGGGAAAATATCATAATGTTTACATGGAATTTAATATAATTATTAGGGCTGTTGATTTAATTTGTTAATTTGGTTTGATTAATTATGAAAAAAAACAATGTCTGGCCTAGACCTGTATGCCATCTTACATTGCATGCAATTGCTTAATGATGAACATGATGCAGAGCAATGACTCATATAGCCATATGATAATGCAGTCATACACAAACATTTTTTTTTTTTTAAATACAGTTTAGCAATATCAACTAAAGGGAGTACTGTAAACTAAAATGCATACTGTACACCCACTAAACTATGAAATAGGTATTGTGGATGGAGAATGGAATCTAGTTTCTTTCCATTTAAATACATTTGCATCTATTATTACGCAGCAAGAGAGCTCTGTTTCAAAGTTTAGTTATCTGATATTCTGTTCTAATCTAGTCTGACAGAATTTGTTGCATTCCCTGAAGCTAACACTCTGATGGTAGATCTTCAAACAAAGCATCCCACTCGTGCTTCACTAAACGCTATAGCAAAATTTGAGAGAGAAAGTTCAACTTTTCTTTTTTTTTTGTATATTTCGAAACTTTTTTTGTGTGGAAACACTCATTTTGAGCATCACATTCCAGCTTCATAATCATATATCTGTAAAATAAAAAAGAAATAATAATAAGAATATCACACAGGCAATTAAGAATAAATGTGATACTCAAGATACCTTTTTGCCTTTGGGGAAAATATCATAATGTTTACATGCAATTTAATATAATTATTAGGGCTGTTGATTTAATTTGTTAATTTGGTTTGATTAATTATGAAAAAAAAACAATGTCTGGCCTAGACCTGTATGCCATCTTACATTGCATGCAATTGCTTAATGATGAACATGATGCAGAGCAATGACTCAGTGCATCATATAGCCATATGATAATGCAGTCATACACAAACATTTTTTTTTTTTAAATACAGTTTAGCAATATCATTTGAGCAAGAATATTTTTTCTGAATATTTGCATGATGTTATAATGTGAAATTGTGATATGAATGTGATATTGATTTTATACAAAGTAAACAAGAAATAAACTGATATATATATATATATGTTTTTCTCAATTTTACAAATGAAAAGAGCACCAAACAAAGCCACAGCAGAACTGCTTTTCCGACAACATACAGCAGCATTTCGTGAATGAATCCACAAGTGAGTTAATGATTCAGTGCCTCATTCATAAAGACTTGCGAGCAAGTCACTTGCTTTCTTCTTGAATGCATCAATAAATGTTATTTTATTAACATTTCAATATATGCTAATTCAATATATGCAATATATGCTAATATTATTTATTTATTTTTAAATGAATACATTTATTTGGCAAGGATACATTAAATTGATCAAATGTGACAGTGAAGACATTTATAATGTTACAAAAGGTTTAAATTTCAAATAAATGCTGTTTTTGAAGTTGATTCCTGCGAAGCATTCCAGCATTTCTATTCATCAAAGAATTCTGACAAAATGTATCCCTTTCCACAAAAATATTAAGCAGCACAACTGTTTCCAACATTGATAATAATCAGAAATGTTTCTTGAGCAGCAAATCAGCATATTAGAATGATTTCTGAAGGATCATGTGACACTGAAGACTGGAGTAATGATGCTGAAAATTCAGCTTTGCATCACAGGAATTAATTGTATTTTAAAATATATTCAAACAGAAAACAGTCATTTAAATTTGAAAAAATATTTCATAATATTACTGTTTTTACTGTATTTTTGATCAAATAAATGCACCCTTGTGAACATAAGAGACATAAATGTTTAAAAAATATTCCCGACCCACAATTTTTGAATAGTAGTTTATATCTGTCTTTTCGTGCATCGTATACAGTAAAAGATAATTTAATATCAGTGTGTCAAATAACAGCAAATTCAATTTGTAGCCAGTACTTTTCATAAATGTATCCCTTTCCACAAAAATATTAAGCAGCACAACTGTTTCCAACATTGATAATAATCAGAAATGTTTCTTGAGCAGCAAATCAGCATATTAGAATGATTTCTGAAGGATCATGTGACACTGAAGACTGGAGTAATGATGCTGAAAATTCAGCTTTGCATCACAGGAATTAATTGTATTTTAAAATATATTCAAACAGAAAACAGTCATTTAAATTTGAAAAAATATTTCATAATATTACTGTTTTTACTGTATTTTTGATCAAATAAATGCACCCTTGTGAACATAAGAGACATAAATGTTTAAAAAATATTCCCGACCCACAATTTTTGAATAGTAGTTTATATCTGTCTTTTCGTGCATCGTATACAGTAAAAGATCATTTAATATCAGTGTGTCAAATAACAGCAAATTCAATTTGTAGCCAGTACTTTTCATCTTATGGTAAAATATATCATAATTTATATACAAATCCAGTTACTGGTATCCAGGCAGTGTACAAATTGCATGGCAAGCAAAAAAAAAAAGCCGCTTTTTCTCAGGTTCTGCAAGACCACGCTGTTAGATCAATATTTATTATTTTCTTTCATCCTATGTCCCACATTCCCTATCTCCATTACAGGGTTATTCGTCTCCACACCGGAGAAAACACAGGAGTTTCCCCAACCTTGGCTGAAGAAATCTCTCTTTAGAGATTAGCAATTAAACCACATCCCTCTATACCAGTGACAGACTTTAAAACTCATGGGAACCAATCCAATCACTCACATGAAGAGCCCTATCCAGAGAACAATCATGAAGGGAATGGAGGATGTCATTATCACCAATCAGCCCAACGAGGGATGGTGTAAGTATCAGATGAGGCGTCTGATGAGCACTAGCGTTGAGCACCTAAGCCACTGATCACCACCGACAAACCAGAGAGGGCAAAACACTCCTTTACTGGAGAGCTCTCTGAGAGCCTGCGGTGCAGACCTGAGGGCACCATGTAATCAAAAGCCACAAGCTATTTTGTAATCAGAAGCAGAAACTAGAGGCATAAATGAAGATGAGATCAAGAGGGAAATGACGCTAATAATCATCTAGAGTTCGGCTGCAAGGCTTCGTGAAGGCTGTGGAGGTGTGTTTATGCATTATTACTTATTGTTTGGAGAAGGTATTTATTGGTGATTTCTGAGGCGCTATGCTGAGTTTATGATACTTGACGTCTTTTCACCAGGGATGTTATACAGAATTGTGTTATGATTTGTTTGGTTATGGCTAATATATGAGCCCATGAGAACAAATACTTCAGTAAACATTAAGAACGTTGACACAACCCCACTTGACAAACTGTGTAATAGTGTTATGGTGGGTTTTCCTATCACCAAATGGCACCCTTAAACCACCCAAAGTCCGTTTGTTGCATAATGAATAAAAATGGCTGGTACTTTCTTGATCTGGAAAGCTCTAATCTGATTGGCTGCTTGGCTGCTTGGCTGCTTGGCTTTACACGATTTTCAGCAGTTGTGGTGCATAAAAAGTCATGTTTGGAAGGCATAGGGTTGCTATAATGAGCAAATCACCTTATAATCGCCAAAGTTTGTAAGGCTGTGGGATGAAATCTTTGCAAGATATGAGTTTTGTTTGAGGAACTCACAATCAAGTAAACTAGACATTTTTGACTTGTATATTCCACTTTCTTTTCTGAGTTAGATAAAAAATAACTTAATTGGTGTTGATGGTTCCATGAAGGACCTTTATCTTCTATGGAAACGTTCCATTTCAAAGAGTTATTTATAGTTAAAGTATAAAAAGGTTCCTTAGATTTTTAAAATGTTCTTCTGAAAGGTTCTTTGGGGAACACAAAATGGTTATTTTATGACTTTCTAAGGAAATCTCCTTTTGGAACCTTTACTTTTAAGAGTGATTTTTAAGATAATTTGCATGTACTAACATTTCTGATTATAATGTGTACACACATATTTTACAATCCTGTTTTACATGTACATACTATTTACTTATTATAGTAATTACATAAATTGAGTAATAACCAGATACTAACCCTGAATGTACCCTTAAAACTAACCTTATGTAGTTACCTTATATTACCCAGTACTTTCTTTGGTAAGTACACTGTAAGTGCACATACTACAAAATATAGTGCAACCCACTTTCCTGATAAACCCGCCTCTGAACAGCTTGTACAGATGACCTGTGGTTGGTTGTTTTCCATGTCAGTCAGACAGTCTCATGTTGTTTAAGTGGGCAGTTCTTGGCTAGAATATCCTGCATGGTTTTGTGTGTGTGGGGGGGGAAGCAAATCCCAGTTACTTAACCATGAAATAAGAAAAATATCCAATAGATTTGGTATTTTTAGAAAGAAAACACTCCACTGAAAGGAACATGCACAGACATGCACATATTCAGATGTGTCATTTCACCAATACACTTTCAAGAGGAAACAGAGGACCCCATTACTTCGCCCAAGACAAAGCTTTAAAATGTTCAAATTAAATTAATTAAAATTCTGTTATTTACTTATATGATCATTTACTTTTTGTTTTTCAGCTTTATGTGGAACTCAAAAGGTGTTTTTTTTATTGCTGAAAACCCCCCACCATAAAACCACTTAGCACTGAAGTAATACAACAGCTTTGTTTGAAGAAGAGACCCAGATGTAAGCAATAGTTGTGATAAATGTAACTGAAAATTGTCCCCTAAACTCAAATTTAACACTCAAAAGTGTCAGGAAGTGTTGTGACACATTGGACATCAGTGACATCAAATCCATTGGATCTCGCTCGTCTTGCAACTGATTGCAACATGCTAAAGTGTGGATGCATCTTTTTAAACGGGAAAGTTTTTAGTGAAACATAACTTAAATTTTGCCCTGCTCTTCATACAAACTGTATGCCTTCATAACACTTGGAATAAGGCATGAGATGTTTTTTTTTATTATTATTTAATTATATTTATCTTACTGGTACATTTCATGCTCTCTTGGCATTTTCATTTAATTGAACAAATGCAAATGCCATTAAAAAAAAGTTACACCGTTTTTCTCTCTATAAAAAGCAAGATCCATTAGAAATATATAATTAAGCAGGATTTGTTTTCCTCTACATATAGGCGGTAATGTGAGTCAAAGCGAACACTATCGGTTATCATTTTCCAGCTACAGTGCTTGAAGCATGGGTTTCTTTTGGAACTATTTTCATTGGCAGAGAAGAAATACAGGAACCACCTCGAGTTCTCAACATTCATTATTTATAGAACTGCTGTATAAGAATGTGATAGGAATATGAGCAACTCTTTTTAGTGAACAGAGTCAAAATATCCGAGTCACCTGTGGGCTCGAGCTTAATGCGATTCAGTCATGCTGATATTCAGTAGTACAGAAGCACTCTAAGAGACACCTAAGAACGGTTTAAAGGGCAGAGGGTGCTGGAATCTGACCCTGACCTCTGAGGAAACGAAACGAATCACACTGTTACATTACTGTTACTGTCGTACCTGTATATTTTGTATCTGGTTGTAAAGCCGTGTTGGTATCGCTCGGTGAACTCGATGAATTCCTGAGAGCGATGGAAAGGACCTTTATCGGACAGCAGCCATCCGAGCGGTTCCGCGGAGCCCACATACACAGCCAGAGAGACGAGCACACAAGCCCAGCGGAGAGAGATCACCATCCCCTCCCATAGGAGCATCAGGTCAGGCGGTCTAGGACCAACGCTCCGAGCCCACATCCTTCAGCCATACATGCTCCCTCCTCGCAAATCCCCGTTGTGTCCTGCAACTCAAAATAATAGGTGTTTTCAAATGGCGATCTCAAGTTAGCATCCCCATCACACAGATTTCGGAAAGAGGGGCAGGCAGTACCTGGCATGAGTTACACTTCGGCTATCCGAGACACTGAAGAAATAATAAAAGACAACACTAGGAAATCCTTAGAGCAACTGTCCGCTCAGGAAAGCGATCCGGTCTAAAGGGTTCCGCGGAGCCCACATACACAGCCAGAGAGACGAGCACACAAGCCCAGCGGAGAGAGATCACCATCCCCTCCCATAGGAGCATCAGGTCAGGCGGTCTAGGACCAACGCTCCGAGCCCACATCCTTCAGCCATACATGCTCCCTCCTCGCAAATCCCCGTTGTGTCCTGCAACTCAAAATAATAGGTGTTTTCAAATGGCGATCTCAAGTTAGCATCCCCATCACACAGATTTCGGAAAGAGGGGCAGGCAGTACCTGGCATGAGTTACACTTCGGCTATCCGAGACACTGAAGAAATAATAAAAGACAACACTAGGAAATCCTTAGAGCAACTGTCCGCTCAGGAAAGCGATCCTTTTCGGAACAGGTCTAAATTATGTCGATAAAATGTTTTCTCACATCAGGTGAAAGCAGGTGCGCGCGTTCCCAAATCCACGCTGGGGCGCAATGGAAGAAGTTGACGCACATCTGACAGAGGTGGGAAAAAATGTTCTATGGGAAACGCTTTTCGCAGGAATAAAAAGTGAGATTTCTTTAGAGCCCTCTTGTTCTCTCGGGGCGAGCAGGTTGGATGCTCTCTCGGTCTTGATAGGCTGTAAAATATGATGGAGCATGAATGCCGGTTTCCCCACGAGTGCATCTCCTGCCTTAACACTTTTCACACTGAGCAATACATATAAAGCATAACTCTCGTGCCCCCACCCTTTCTCTATTTCTCTCACCCTGTATGCCCCTCCTTCTGCGCATTCACTTCTTTTTGTTGGAGAATGTGCCCTGGAAAATGTACTATGATGTGGTTTTATTTCCTAACAGAATTTAAATAAGGTAAGTCACTTGCTATAAGTGTATTGTACATGATGGTGTTACATTAACATTCATGTTCTGTTAGGGGTCTGAGACACCAGCTGTTTTAATAGTCCAAAAAATACTAAAAATGACTTTCCTTTTCTTACGTACAGTATCTTATGAGAAATTAGCCTAAACAATACTTAAACAACTTGATTGCATACTTTAAAGATCCTCCAAAATTACATAAAATTATATGAATAAATAAAATTCTGATACAATTTTATAGAATAAATGCAATTTTCATATGTATAGCCTACATATACATTGTGATCATACACACACACACACAGACAATGTACAGTCAATATCAACAGAACACCAGAGCTCTCTTTTCTGCTGTGCACTGTGATTATAAATAGTCTTAAAAGCATTGATTACAAAATGATGAGGGGGGGCACCAGAATATTAGGTTTGTGGAGAAAATAGGAAGTATTAGAGGAGAACTGTTTCATATTCACAAAGAGACTAAATCAATCATGCATGGGATATCTGTAAGTGCTGGAATATCATCGCTCTATTTTAGTGCTACTCTTTTGGGTTTTTAATTGGAAATGTTTTGACTTCCAAACGTGTGATACATTTTAGATATGGTGTTATGGTTCCTTTCAGATACAGTGGGGTTTAAAAGTGCAAAACAATATTGGCGTCGATGGCCTCTGGGCAGCGCGCCGACGTAATGCGCCATCGCTCTTCGAGTGTCTCGAGTTCAAGTCCCGGCTCGCAGATCTTTACCGATCCCATCCCCCTCTCTCTCACCCACTTCGCTTCCTGTCGACCTATACGGTCCTATCCAAATAAAGTCATAAAACGCCATAAAAAAAAATCTAAGAACAGTACAATTGTTCTATTTTGCATTTCTTATACAATACATTTTTATTACTAATTACAATATGTTATCAGCATAACAACTTGATTAAAAAGCTTAACTGAAAAATGTCAGAAATGGTGTGTTCCCTTTTGTTTCCAAAGAGCTTATTGAGCTTCAGTGGAAGCAAGAACTTGTGAGTCACATGATCAATGTCACAGAAAATCTGAGTGTTGACATCTTATGGAGTTGACAAATTTTGCTTTTCACATTTGTATAAAATTAAGCGATTTTGTTTTCTGATGTTTTACTAAGAGGAATCAATCAATGTTTGTTTTTTTATTTAAATGTACTGTACTTTAAAATGTAATCTCCAACCAACCAGTAATCCATGTCTTCGGTGTCACAGTAATCATTTTAATATAATGGTTTGGTTCTCAAGAAACATTTAATATTATCGACAGTTGTGCTATATTGTCAGAAATAATGGTGGACAGGTGGTTTGGATAGAAAGAGAGAAAATGTGCTTTCATCATTTCAATTAAATAAAGCAAATTCAATCAAATTGTACTTTTCTGTTAAGAACACTCTAGTGATCATCTCTGATTAATTTCACAGTGGAAGATTTGCCATTTAAAAAATGAATGGCAGGTAAAGTTGTGGGTCGTGGTCTGTCCCATGTCTGAAGAATCTGTGAACTATTCGCTGTGTGTGACCTAAAACTCCAAGTGAAGCTCCAACCAATTACAAAAGCAATTACAAGATTAATTAAAGTGAAATTAAAAATACTCTGGACACTTAGAAATATTCTCCAGGAAAACTTAAAAAGTGATCTCTGCTCTTGGGAAAGTTGCTCACAGTTCATCTTTACCGGCAATTCATTACCCTCAAGCTTTTGAAGATAATTTCAGATGTAATGAAAGTCTGTCGGCAGAGGCAGAACATCAAATGTTTGCTCCGTGTGTCTCTGACATTATTTCTGTGAAGAGCAGAGTTGAGGAAGGGAAATGAGTTTCCTTTTAGGCTAAAGACTGTTATAGTTTCCAGTGTTCCGGGTCTTTGTTGTCTGTTTACACTGTAATTGAAATGTTCCCAAACCTTTACTCTGCCTTACTCTTCCCTTTTTCCCTATTTCCCATTCCTTCTGTCTGTTCATTTCACTCTCTGTTCCTTACTTTACCCTCTACTCCCCATTCCTTCTCGCCTCTTTGTTGCGCCGTTTATTTCGTTGTTTTCCTCCTGCTGCCTGCAGAGCAGAGGGATTCAGTCACTGTTGTTATTTGTGTGGTAATCATCTCCTGCACATCAGTAGCTCAGCTGGCATAGAGGAACCGGTCGCAGAGGTACATCCTCCATTATGGAGGAAAGACTTTTTTCTTTTTCAACCAAACCAAAAGAATGTGGAGATGCATGCGTCCTTCTATCTCCAGGAAATAGGTTTGATGCTTTGGGTCACTGCAGGACTATGACTGTGTGCATGACAATAAATTGAGTTCCTGAAGAACCATGGCAAGAACTTGATGCAGCAATATTTCATGTACACTCTTAAGGCTCTGTCAAGTCAAGTCAAATCACCTTTATTTATATGGCGCTTTTAACAATACAGATTGTGTCAAAGCAGCTTTACAGTATCAAATAGGAAAATAGTGTGTCAATAATGCAAAATGACAATAGTAAACACTCAATTTTCAGTTTAAGGCAGTTCATCATTGAATTCAGTGATGTCATCATCCAGCTCAGTTCAGTTTAAACAGTATCTGTGCAATCAAGCCAACGATATCGCTGGAAATTAAGTGTCCCCAACTAAGCAAGCCAGAGGCGACAGCGGCAAGGAATCAAAACTCCATCGTTGACAGAATGGGGGAAAAAAAAACCTTGGGAGAAACCAGGCTCAGTCAGGGCCAGTTCTCCTCACTGTGTGTGATCAGCGAGTGAATAACCACTTTACTTCTGTGATCGTATCGTTTTTAGAATGCTTGAATTAAACCACTGGAATTGTTCGGATTACCTCCTTTTTGGACCCCACTGACTTTCACTGTGAACAAAAACAACTGAAACATTCTTCTTTTGTGTTTCTCAGAAGAAAGAACATCATTTGGAGCAGCACAAGGCTGAGTGAATGATGATAGAATGTTAATTTTTAGGTAAAAAAAATCATTTAGCTGTCTGTACTACATTGCAGTTAAAATAGTTCCCTCTATTTAAAAAAAAAACTTTTCTGACCACTTAACATTCATTTCTTTTCTTTTTTTATTACAATCCTGCTCAGCACAGGCTAGAGATAGGTTATATTTTGCACTAAAAAGCATTGTTTATTAAAACTTCATACACTCCTAAAAATTAAGTTTCTTTATTGGGATCTATCTAAACATCTAAAAATGTGTTTTATAGTGGAAAATGATTCTTTAGATTAATAAAATACACTTCACATTAAGAAAAACATGGTTGGTTTAGGAAGAGTTCACTAAAAGGTTCCCAAAGATTCTACTGGATCACTGCAAAAATCTTTATTTTTAAGCAAATATGGTGACACATCAGTAACATCAAAGCTTACAAAGATGAAAATCAAGTTTGATGTTATTAAGGTGTTGCCCTGTTTGATTTAGGCTCTGTGTGAGAGTGTCTAAATCATGACAGAATTTTCATTTTTGCTGAAGTAGTAGTTTATTGCCGAATCATGATACATTGAGAGTTCTTTAGCTCTGTGTAATTGTAGCATAAACACTATCCAGAAACCCTTGTTTGATTTTATTCATTTGATTTTTATATTTTATTTAATTTTTTTTAGGTCTTTTGTAACCTGATCTCCCAGGAACCATTATGAGGTGATGATTTCGCATACATTTACACTGCTCAAAAAAATTAAAGGAACACTTTCTAATCAGAGTATAGCATCAAGTCAATTAAACTCCTGGGATATTGATCTGGTCAGTTAAGCAGCAGAGGGGGTTGTTAATCAGTTTCAGCTGCTTTGGTGTTAATTAAATTAACAACAGGTGCACTAGATGGGCAACAATGAGACGACCCCCAAAACAGGAATGGTTTTACAGGTGGAGGCCACTTGACTGTTTTTCACTAGTTTTGCATTTGGCTAGGGTCAGTGTCACTACTGGTAGCATGAGGCGATACCTGGACCCTACAGAAGTTAAACAGGCAGTCCAGGATGGCACATCAATACGTGCCATTGCCAGAAGGTTTACTGTGTCTCCCAGCACAGTCTCAAGAGCATGGAGGACATTCCAGGAGACAGGCAGTTACTCTAGAAGAGCTGGACAGGGCTGTAGAAGGTCCTTAACCCATCAACAGGACCGGTATCTGCTCCTT